TAGGCATATGACTTTATATTATATATATATATATATATATATATATATATATAGCCTTATCCGTTTAAAAAAAAAATTAAATCAACATTAAAATTCTTAGCCAAGAGCAGAATAAATGAGGAGGACTCACCATGCATGGCATGTTTCTGATTGGTTAAGAGCTGGGACAAAGCCCAGAATGCATCTTCTTCATTCATGAACATTAACAGTATGGCAGCAATCTGACTCATGCCCTGGCAGTAACTCACTTCCTGTGGACAAGAACAGACAAAGTCAGCGATTATGTAACATCTCTTTATTAAGCATAGATGTGATCGCACACTTACCGTATTGTAAACAGAGTACGCAGAGAGCACATGGAACAAAGACTGCTGCCTGTGAAGAGAAGAAAAGTGTTGTCAGACTCAAACTCTGTCTTTTACTGAAAGTGCACAATGAAACAAACACACATCAACAACACATGAACCAAACATCCATATTTTTTCCACAAAGATGCATTCGCTCCTCAAATTAAAGTTGAGGCCCTCCCTTCATGTGTGAGCATTAATGACACCCTTCAGATGAGCGAGACTTTCCACTTGGCTCTCTAAGGCCTGCAATCCATTAAACCCACAGTGACATCACTCCCTTTTCTGGCCTGCTTGGGGAACAAGCTCTCAAAATGCAGAAATCAGCTCCAGAGATTGTCTGCAGAAGTGGCGAAGAGAGACTGAGATGTTGATGAACATACACTCTGGCACTTTCATAAAGCACATAAATAGCCAATACGAGAGATGTTTGAGCAAATTTGTGCATTCATTTCGCAATAAACATGCACTGTACATGTCCCTGTTCTGTAAATGTGTCTGTATTTTAGGTGCATATCGGCCACACTTTAGTTTGGGGACAAATTCTCACTATTAACTAACTATTAACTATGACTTTTGCCTCAATAAATTTCTAATTTAGGAGCTTAGCCTTCAATTAGACATGTCTAAAGAGGCCATATCACCAAAAAGGAGGACACTTTGCAGGATTTGTAAAGCCAGGATAAAAACAGAAAATTAATCCTACACCTAAACAAATATACACATTTCAGTTAAGAGATCATTTCCCTTAAATTGATTTCCAGAGACATTTTTAACCTACAAGGGCAGTTTTTTTAACCTTACTAAATGTATGCCTTAAGGCATATAATCAAATTATTTTAATGTGTTCATGTGTTACTTACTTTACACCAAATCGATCCATGAACATGATGTGTTCTCGAAAGGTCCTGTTGATATCAAGGTCAATCTGTTTGATTTCTGGAGAGTACAGCTGGGCTTGCTCCTTCATTCTCTGTCAATCAAACAAATGGCTTCATCAAAAATAGATTCAGTGTTGATAAGTTACCATGCAGTACAAGATGACGTTAGAAGACAACCATTTCTAGATTTAATTATGTGATATTATACCTACAATACTGAGTGGTTTATTTTGTCAAAATGAACAGCTGACTAATACATCTCATTTATCACATACTGTAACTACTTTTATTCTCTTATATAAAAAAAATTCTGCTCATGATATACACACTACCGTTCAAAGTTTTGGGTCAGTTTTAACGTTTTCAAAAGTCTTGTATGTTCACCACAGCTGCATTTATTTGATAAAATAAATAGTTAAACTAATAATGTGAAATATATACTAAGAACACCATAAATAGTGACAATAACCAACAAACTCATAATTCAAACCCACAGCAATATATACACGGAAAAACTAACCACCAAACATGACACAGGTAAAGAACAGTTACCTTGGAAACTATAATACTTCTTGCTTGTTGTAAAATCTCAGCAGCTCTGAAGGTTTGTTTTTCTTGTTTTGTTCTCTTCCATCTCTTTCCATGCCTTCTATCAGCCATCTGTCTGTTTTCAGATCACACTAATCCCTTTGAAATAGCTCTACCACAACACCACTTCAGTAATCCCACTCTAACCAAACACCCGGCTTTAGGCCAGCAGAGACTTGCGGCTACGTAGTGTCCGTAGGTCACAGCTAAATCTGCCGAGTTACTGTGTGTGAATGTGTATGCACGCATGTTTTTAATGTTGTACCTCATATTTTCCTGCATTGTCACTCTTGACTTTCTCAACATCCAGTAGCAGGGCCCAGGCCTGTCCTCTCAGCTGTAGTGGGACGCCTTTATACACCCTCTTAATCATCTGCACAAAGACACCAGGAGTAAGAACAAGTGTGTGTGTGTGTGTTTTAAGCATCACTCTGGTTCTCCATGGAGCTACATCACAGTGCTCTCTCTGATTTTCAGAGAAATGATCACAACCTCTTGAGGTGAAGCTCACCCGGTCACTGTTCCTGTACTTGCTCCAGTTCTTCAGCATTTTCAACCATTTCTGCACCCTCTCAATCTCCACCTGTTTTTGCTGTACAGGGAAAAACAATGAAATCTGATGAATTATGATTTGCAAAAACAAAACAAAAAAAATAGATTTGATTAAAAAGTTAATTTTCTGTTTAATTTTCATTACTTTTCAGTCAACACAAAATAATCATACACCAATCATCACCCAAAAACATCAATAATAATAAAAATAACCGTATCTTATTTAATAATTGTGCTTTTTTTATCCAAGAAGAAGAAGAAGAAGAAGAAGAAGAAGAAGAAGAAGAAGAAGAAGAAGAAGAAGAAGAAGAAGAAGAAGAAGAAGAAGAAGAAGAAGAAGAAGAAGAAGAAGAAGAAGAAGAAGAAGAAGAAGAAGAAGAAGAAGAAGAAGAAGAAGAAGAAGAGTCTCTTGAGCAGCAAATTAACATATATGAAGGATCAAGTGACACTGAAGATTGGAGTAATGGCTGCTGAAATTTCAGCTTAGCATCACAAAAATAAGTTGCATTTGAAAATATATTAAAATCAAACAGTTTTAACATTTCAAAATATTACGGTTTTCAAATAAATGCGGCCTTGGTGAGCACTGAGCATAAGTGACTTCTTTCAAAGACATTCAACATCTTAAATCCAAACTTTTAAATGGTAGTGTAGTTCTCACATCTTCATAGGATTTCAATTATTTACTTTTAAAAGAATTAAATAATAAAAAAAAAAGCTGAAAGAATGTGTCATCAGTGGTATACGGTGCATAACATACATGCTTCTAATCCTCAGAGTCCATTAACAGACAGGTATGAGTATAAATATCTGCTACATGGCACAAACAACCCTCTTGTGTTTTTGTCTAAGGAAGCAATATTTCTTTCCTCATTTGTATAAGTACTCTGAGATTAGATGCAGAACAGGCATTCAGATCACCCTGCTGCCATTAACATCTGTTCTGAGGACCGCTTTCACTCTTTCCACCCCTAGTCTTTAACCTTTACGTGCCACAACACGACTGCACAAATGTCAGCTGGGAAATGCATCAGCCACCTCCACGCTGTGAATACGTCACATGAGAGCACACCTCCAGACAGCCCAGCTGTGTCTGCCACACAATCTTGTGTACTAAACGCTCATGTCTGAAGGTCACCGTAAGCCGGTTTACAAAAGAGCCTCCACACTGCTACTTATTCATTCTGTGATCCTGTGTGTTATCTTTTGTGTGCTAGTTGTGTACGCAAAAAAAAAAAAAAAAAAAACGCTGTTTGAATAGTATATTCACATGCTGTTTGAATACATATCACCTGTATAGTATATTTATATGCTTAATTTGTGTGTGTATACCTTCTCTTCAAGCGCACTGGGTGTGGGTAATTCTTCTTCACTGTGGGAAAAACAAATAGGGTTACAAAACTATACAATACTAGTATACCATCACAAACATTGCTGTCTGGCTGGGATTACGTTTATACCCTGGGATAGCCAAAAAAACAGTAGGCAATTGCAATTTGTACAGAGGTTGTTGTTTGATTCAGACAGATTTAAAATCATAATGTATGCTACAATTCAAAGGTTTGATCTCTTACGCTCACTAGGGCTGCATCTGATCAAAAA